CCTCAACAGCTTTCATTGATAAAACATGTGTAGCATCACGTTCGTGGATATCTTTGACTATTTTGAATACATTTCCTTGATCAGTAGCTACGAAGAATATGGTACTATGGCGACCTGCCAAATCTGCAAAGGAAATCGAATCAATTCCTGTTGGATAATCAGTTTCAGATCAGTTGGTAGTATTGAAATGGAACGTACCAACAACATTCTCTTCTACAAGAATTTCTGTAAATCGATCCGTTCCGTAATGTACAAATAGAGGTGAGGTGCTTAGCTCTGGAAAATGGGAGATATAAGTGGTTTTGCAATTTGCATTGAATCGGCTGTTCTCTGGACATGGGATTTTGGCTTCATTTATATTCTTGTGGGTTTTGACTGGTAGGTAGGGCTAGCACTGCTCGATTGTGTTAAGGGAATGTTCCAATCATGGCTAAAAGAGCTGGGTGCATTGGAGAATGAGCTAATTTTATGAGAGCACCCGAAACTGTCCGTTGTGGGCGGGACTTGCGCTTGAGTGGGCGGCGCTCGGCTCAGAAAGACATATACCCCCTATTTCTTCTGTAGAGCTTTTACCACTTTTTCTGTCAATTGCAGGCATTTGATAAATGGTTCCTAAAAGCGGATCCGTCTGAGCCGATTCTTTTTTCAGATCAAGTTCTTTCATATCTTTTCCGCTGATATTCATACCGATATAGACTGATATTCTATGAAACTAGAAGTAGATTAAAAGTCATCTGTTAGTTTTCCCACAGAGTATCGTTCGAGGCTCTCAGGTTGCCAGAAGAAAAGGGATATGTTCAAGTGTCAAATGATAGAGAGAGGCAAAGGCAAAATCGTAGAACTCACTTGTGGAAATAAGCGGATTATTCCGTATGTAGGTGTGCTCATAAGTGTCGTTAGCCCTTGGGCAAGCCACCTTTTTGTTCCGAAAAACGCTTGCCATCCGTTGCGAGACGGTAGCGCGTGAATAAGCACATACAGCCGATGAACCAAGTCCGGCCAGTTGAGATCGGAATGCCCCGTAAACGAAATGCGCTCCTGGTGCCACCGAGGCTAGCTGAAAAGAGCTTTCTTCAGGATAAAGAGGAGCCCAACTAAAACATAACGATAACTATGCAGTAAATAATCAAAACAAAGAAATGAGGAGTCAAACTAG